CAAAATAAGTACTTATGCTCAGAAGGGAAAAAAAGAAAAAAAAAAGCACTTTTATCCAAACATGTAATTACTTATTTTCTAGATAAGTACTTGAAGTTTCTTATAATCACTAGTACTTAAAGCATATCTTTTTCAGCAATTCCAAAAAACATCCACATAAAACAATGAATAACCTTTGGTTTATCAAAGTCCTTAGTCGAGAACTTTTAAAAGCTGGAAACATAAGCTTGTCACGGAATAGTGGATTTGCTTCAATCAGCTTTTTAAGTTCTACCAGCATGATATTTCGAGCCGATTTTGTGTCCCCATATTTGGAAAGCTGCTCATTTTGCCTGACAACATATTGCAGCAGAAAATTTATCCATCATAAAGAATTTAAGGGGATTAAACAATATATCTTAAAGAACACTAAACCAAAAATAATTATTCAGTAGAAACCTAAAGTTATCAAGAGTCAGCAGCTGAGTAATTTCTTTGAAAAGCTCCTCATTGAAGGATGCAAATACTTTTAGGTCCTTCACAAGAATCTCCACAGCCTTTGCTCGATCCTGCCTGATAGCATTCCACACAAGATCAGAAGATGCCACAAGTGCCCATAAAAACATAAGGAGATATCCAACGCTAACAAAAAAGAATGGTAACTCCCTATTTCAATAGATAAATATTGACAACTACTCCAAATTTCTAAAAACTACCTCCTATTACTGTTTTTTTAAATGTCCTCATCACATCAATTAATGTGGATGTTGCTTCTAACAGTCAGTAACAGGGTCTTTTGTATTCAGATACTAGAAATTTAAAAAACAACCAGATAGTAGTGTAATTGAAAATTCACCGATCTAGTGCTTCCAAATACTTCTGCTTCCGGATTTCAAAGAAAATCTTCATTGAATAACGATTATCATCAACTTTTGTGAATCCACACAAATACCGCTCCACTTCATCCCATTCACCAGCCTGTACTTGATCCTCAAAGTACTTCATGTTGAAGAAGAACCCAGACTCTTGCTCCAACCTGAATTTCCAGCAACCCACAAAACAAGGAGGTAAAAGCAGAGCATTAGGGGTCCCTACGAGTTAAGGTTCTTAAGCTCCATTACGTAGGTAAGGAAAGCAGGTAAATAGAGAGAAACTAAGCGCCATTTTCAGAAGCCAAGAAGTACTCCAAAAAAAAAGTGTAAACCAAACAATTGCCTACTTCCTTCAACTCCAGAAACATATACCTCAATTCAACTTAGCCAAATAGGCAGCAACCTCAGCATAGTGCATGTAGTCTTTTTCTTAATTTAACCATACGCCTAAACTTTTCTCGGCTACCAAACATAATGTTAACATGGAAGAAACATGTATTAGAAGAAATATAACTTACTTATGAACGGTTTCCTTGAATTTTTCCTCGTCTAAGAACTGTAATATCAAAAAAACTAATTCCCTACTCAACGAAGACATGGTCCCCGGCAGCCCTAATCGCTCCAGTGCAAAGATCTTTATCAAACCAAAGTACAAAATGTAGTGACCAACCCAAGTTTTCCACAAAACCCTTGTAAAATGCCAACACGTCAATAAAATCAGGATTGGAAAACACCCTCCAATTTTCACTTCTTCGGCTCCGTTGTGATATCAATAGTAGGCTTTCAAACAACTCAGCAAGCATCCATTTCAGGATACTGGTTTAAACGTAGAATCGTTGAAGCACTCAAGCCAGACCACTGCAGAAAAGTTTGTCCACCGAAACACGCACCGCCAAATTCAAAAACTAAAAAAGCTACGGTTTTGAAGCAAACCCACTTGGAAACTCCCGAATAAATCCCAATTTTCCGTTTCTTGCGCACAAAGATCAGGCAAATAAAGCTCAATGTACGCTGCAAAATGTGAGGCACCAAAGAAATAAAAGAGCTTTATTTCTCAATAAGTAATCAAATAGAAGGAAAGAGGGAAATAACTGTCTGCTCATTAACGCAACCAGATAGGAGATGAAGCAGCAGCAATATAATGAACTATCTGCTAGGGTTAGGGTTTTGTATCTGCTTTGGGTTTTTCCAGTTTAATCCTTTATTCTTCTCCCTTTCTTCGCAGCAAGTCTCTCTCTGGGCAACAGTAACAGCAAAAACAAGTCTCACTTTCTCTATCTCACTAGAAAAACAGAGAATAAAATATGGGTTTGGGCTGTGTTTCTCTCTCTTTCTATGTATCTTTTATACTTTTTCTCTCTAGAACTTGATGAACTAAGACTTTTCCCTTCTTTCTCTCACTGTCATCTACACATACCTTTCTCTCTCTTATCTGACACCGAGCTCGCCTTTCACTTTCTCTCTCTCGTGATTAAACTATATTATATTAATACATATATATATATATATGTAAATCACTATTCTTTATATAGCAATAATAGGTTCAGTAATACACTCGCTCTGGACCTGATTTTTCCTCATATCTCCATGCAAATAAATCCCTTTCAATTATATAAGTTTCTAATTACTGTCATTATTTTCAGTTTTTTGAATCTCCTTGTCAAAATTTGAATTTCCTGTTGTACCTTTTTATACCCTACGCTATCAATATTTTTTATTTCACCTAGGAAATTTTTTGAGTATCATATTATTATATGTTAATTATGATTTTTACATTCAATATATTTACTTAATTGTAACTAGAAGATTGAATTTGACATGTTGTTTATGTTAATCTAATAAATTTTTTTTTCTATATCTTGGGTTATTGTTGAGATTCTTTATCCAGTTAACCTTACAATAGCTAATTAATTAAATTTAATCATTATTTAAAAATGAATTATTTCAAAAATTTATCTTAATCATTTAATTTTAAAAAATTTATATTCTATTTTTTATATTTTGATGTATTATTTTTCTAATTTAAGACTTTATATTTTTATATTTAAGTTGAGTGCATTGATTTCACTTTCAACTATATTGTTTTAAAATTTTATTATAATGTTTCACCGGAGTGTTGAATCTACGTTCAAAATATATAATTTATGTAACTATAACAATATTTTTATTACTACTTATCATTAAAAAAAAATATTATTAAAATTATTAAATCACGAATATTTACATAATTTTACTTCATATCAAACAAGAATCCGAGTAATTATTGTTCTTTTATTTTAATTTTTTATGTTCCAATCATATTAAATAAATTATGTTTTAGTAGTAGTATGATTATGTTCCAAGATTTCAATCAAACTAACCATTGAATATGATTCAGATTCTAAAGAATTACACAATTTGAAATTAAAGGACTCATCATTTTCAACACAAGAAATATGGTATCATATGCTACATTGCGCATCATCCAAAAAACCCCATGACTATGTCGAAAAACAATTTCTCTAAATAAAATTGAACTAAATTCCCCAAAAGCATAGAGACTGATTAATATAACTTGACACTTCCAATTCCATGTAATCTACATAGTGTTACTACTTATTTATTCAGGTGAAAACATAGGGAAGAGGAGAAAGAAATCATGACCAAAGACAAATATAACTAGCATACACCTATGAATAGC